GGATATCTACTGCTCTCAGAAGGACATTCTTCGCTGCCACACTACGACTGACATTTTCCTCCCGGCCATTGTTCTTCAACTACTCTAAAGATAAACTATCGCATTTGACCACTTCCATGTGTATCTACCAATTCACCTGCTCTTGCGGAACGAGGTATATAGGTCGTTCGATGCGTGTTTTATCTAAAAGAGTTCAAGAACACTATCCCGCCTGGCTACGGAAAGGTAACAACGGAGCAATAAGGAGCGCCATTATTGAGCATATACTCAACACTGGTCATTCGATTTGCAAGGAGTAGTTCACAAAAGTCATCTATAAGGTCAAAAGAAGCCTTCCAAAATCGACAAGCTTCCGTATACTTTGTATTGCTGAAGCCTTAGCGATTTGGATGGAAAAGCCTGAGTTATGCACACAGAAGAAACTTCTCTACCCCCTCCTACTACCGTGGGTTTAATTCCAAGTTTATTTGTCATCAACATTTTGTTATCAAATTTTTTGCAATTTTCGTATAACAATTTTTAGTAACTAACCCATTCAATCTTTTCACCTATTATCCAGTTTATTTTCATAATTGTCTCCAAACTCCTTCACTAGCATCTAATCTTTCTAAACATGTCCATATTACGTAACTCTACTCACGTCTTACCAATCTTCACCCCACTTAGTTACAACTTTGAGTATTAATCACACATTTTAACTTCTTCATTATCTTGATGATGTAACTCTACTCACATCTTACCAATCTTCACCCCACTTAGTTACAACTTTGATTATTAATCACACATTTTAAATTCTTCATTATCTTGATGATATTATCAACAACCCACACTAATGGTTATTTTGATTTTGACCAACCTAATGTACACACACATACAAAATAATTGTATATATATTTGCGACTGTACAGCTAAGTGAATGAATTCGCCGAAAAGAGACTCTTCGCTGAACTAATTTGTTCTTATTTTAATTTAGAAAAAAGCTCGGCAATTGCAATGCACGAATTAGCACACAACCACACAATAGGGTGGGAGAGGGTTAAAATTCTAAAAAGTAATCTAGGTAGGTGGAGAGAGAGGTTGATTACTGAATCCTTGTTCATCGAATCTACACCCAACACATGAATAGGAATGAATCATCACTCATACCCGAAATATGGAAAATAATACTACCAATCAAATCAAGTGAAAAACAATGGAACTATATAAATGAATTTAGGAAGTTGTGTGATTACCTTGATATGATTATGAGCAATAAATTGTGCTCGAAACGTGATCAGTAAATATTACTGTATAACACTGTGAGACTCTATTAAATTGAATTTACCCATAATGGAATTACACTCTACCACAGTGCCCAAGTTTTATTCTTATATCAGTTAGTCATTACTCAACTGCCGAGTACTGGGCTATAAGCCGCATTTATTTTGTAAAAGCTGGTGATACTACCCAGTTGTTGAGGATGAAATAGGTGGAGCGAATGTACCACCTCAGTGATACTATCATCAGTTGACTAATATACGTTGCAATTTTAATAAATTAGTGAATGATTTTGTTTTATTCATTTGGTTTCCATGGTGATGTAATCTCGTTGTATGAATAGTCCAAAATGAGCTTTATTGAAATGTGTGTGTATGTGACTTCTGTGTAGTGTGTGTGTGTGTACTGCTCAGCAGTCCACTCCGTCCTCCTTTATGGCTGTGAGTGAGACATGGCCATTGGGAGCGGAAGACATGAAAAGCCTGGCTAACTGTCTTTGACCATAGGTGCTTGCGTTCTATCTCTCGAGTGAAGTGATAAGATAGGGTGAGCAATATTGAGGTGAGGGGAAATCAATCGACGAGGTTGTGAAGTTACTTCGATTAAGATGGTTAGGACATGTGTTAAGCATGCCTAGACAGTGAATTCCTCCACAAGCAATGTTAGCCGCTGACATAGGATCAGGTTGTAGAAGATTTAGTGGTGGTCAAATCAAAATATGGCTTCATCAGTCAGTGAAATCCGTGACAGTTAGTTTAAGCCAGCCAGCCAGTCAGGCACGTAGGGATGTGTAGACTGGCATTCATTCTCTGTGATTTGTCATACCCATATTACTTTTCTTTTTCCTTCACTCATATCTCTGTTTTGAACCTCTGTTTACTCTCTTCTCATCCTTAGTGTGCTATTTGGGGTGTGGCAGCAGGAAATGGTGCACTTCTGTGCAAAGTTCTATGCTGAAACTACTCAGATTTTTACCTCTGTAACTTGTCAAGAGGATTACTACAGTGGCAAAGCAAAACAATGTGATACGACGGATAATCATGCTAGTGTTTTATGTCACTTAGTGATAAGTTGTAAATGTCCTGCTTTGAGATAACTTAAAATCATTTAGAATCAGACCTCAATTACGCAATATCACAGCGTCAATGTCTGCCTAGTAACGTTTCTAATAAGTCACTGCAAGATTTTAGACAGTCACTGCTGAATAAACAGCTGGAGACCATTCACGTCAACCAGTACTGACTGCCAGAGCCGTTTCGCTTGCTATGGGACAAGCTCATCAACAGTGTGCACGAAGTGACTCATCTCAAAGAAGTGAATCAGTTAGAAACAAGTAAAATACTAAAAGACCACTTCTTTGAGCGGTCGGTCGGTTTTCGACATAGAACTTTGCACATATGTGCGACAGTTCAAGTTACCACACTCCCTTCATGTAGCACACAAAGCAAGAGAAGAAAATAGGAGAAATGCATAATATAGACAGTAAACAGAGGTTTGAGACAAAGGAATAGTAATAACGAAGAACAAAACAGTTTCATTAGAAATCATAAGTCACAAGGAGTGGATGCATCTGCACCATTGACAACGAGGATTTTGAGACATGTCACCAATTGTTTCCAACCATTGGTTTTTACTGTCCCGAGGACCCCAACCAGGAAGTCTACACTTTCCTACATGGCTTAGACTAACTGTTGTGGATTTCATTGACTGGTGCCATGTTTTCGTTTGACCGCCCCTAGCTCTTTTCCAGCCTGGCCCTATATCAGCTAACATTGCCCATTGTCGAGGAAGGCGATGACTAGGCATACGTAACACATGTCCTAACCATCTCAGTCGGTGTAATTTCACAGTTTCGTCGATTGATTTCCCCGCCTTACCTAGCACTCGACGCCTAACCTCAATATTGCTCACCTTATTATACCATTTCACGCGGGAGATAGAACGCAGACACCTATGATCGAAGACAGCTAATCTTTTCATGTCTTCTGCTCTCAATGGCCATGTCTCACAGCCATAAAGGAGGACGGAGCGGACTGTTGAGCAGTACACTTCTTTGAGCAGTATCCACCCACGCATATTAATCAGTAGCATGTATCATAATGATATATCGTTTGCTTTCCTGATAAGTGTTTGCGATTTTTATATGCAGATCACATATTGTGATCTGAATAATAAGTTTAAGTCACTTTCAAACAGTGACTTCGTATTTTACTAAATGAGAGACTTAATATATACACACACACACAGAGGATATAAACTCAGTGTAAGTAACTATCCAACTAGGTGAAGGACATCGGTATACGTAGTCAGACAAAAACAAATTATGTCACATGTTTATGGTGAGCAAGGTCAATGTCCAAGTATTTTCGCTAATACCTATGTCCTTGGTCAGGTATATATGTATATATACTTTGGTAAAGGCTTATATAGACACTAATAAATATACTTTCCACCTCACGTTGTTGTGTGTTCTCGTTTAGGTAGAGCAGACTGGAGGAAACAGGTAGCTGACGTATAGTGTTGTTGGCGTAGTCAAGCTGTATTTGTGATTACCCCCATCTGTATCCAGCTTCGTCGTCCCTATCGCTATTTTCAATCTCAATGTTATTGCAAAATAGCGAAGCTAGCGCACATCATGCCATCAATTCACAGCCACCAATCACTCCCAGGTTCGAGTCCTGCTCCGCTTACTCCAGTCTTGGAAACTAGGTACTATCACCATCCCTCTCACACACACACACAGAGTACGTGTAGCTCATAGCCTGATACATGAAACATTTGTTCTGAATAACAGTTCAAACAAGTGAACAAGGTTTCATTTCTCAATATGTCCCAAGTAAGTAAAATAGAACTTCGGACAGCAAAGTATAGAGTTTTTTTTTCTTAATCTACCTTATAATAAACCGAAAGCTTTTCATTTTTGTCTATGTTTGTCTGTCTGTTTTCGACATAGAACTTTGCACATATGTGCGGCAGTTCAGGTTACCACACTCCATGTAGCACACAAAGCAAGAGAAGAAAGTAGAAGAAATGCATAATAATGACAGTAACAGAGGTGTGAGACAAAGGAAGAGTAATAACGGAGAACAAAACAGTTTCATTGGAAATCATAAGTCACAAGGAGTGGATGCATCTACGCCACTGAGAACGATTTTGAGCCATGTCACCAATTGTTTCCAACCATTGGTTTTTACCGTCCCGAGGACCCCAACCAGGAAGTCTACACCTTCCTACGTGGCTTAGACTAACTGTTGTAGATTTCATTGACTGGTGCCATGTTTTCGTCTGACCGCCGCTAGCTCTTTTCCAGCCTGACCCTATATCAACTAACATAGCCTGTCGAGGAAGGCGATGACTAGGCATACGTAACACATGTCCTAACCATCTCAGTCGATGTAATTTCTATTTTGTCTATGTCTATGTGAATCATGTAGGCGTGCTTGAATTATTTAGATTTTTTTCCTTCACGTTCCCCAGTGGAACATAGGGCCGCTTCAAGCTAGTGGCTTGAAGTTTCTGTAGCAGTGTTTATTTTACAGGATTGGTTTGCTAGCTTCATGCCCAACCTTTCCTCTTTACCAGCATTATTTCTGGCTTAGCGAGGTAAAGGAGTGCGTCGGCCGGCGATCGAACCCCGGACCATGTGCATGGTCGGCGAGCGTCCTAACCGCTATGCCACCAACGCTTGGATTACTTAAATAAGGGTTTATTAATCAAGGTCTAGTTTTATCAAATGAGCAATTTTACATAATTTTATAACAGAGAAGTAACTTAACTGGTTTTCCTATTAAAATAATAGATAAAAACAAATTCAAGCGATTTAAATTAACCAACAAGCAGTACAGATATGGTTAGGAATAAGCCTCTAATCTCTTCATGTATACTCATGTATTCACATGCCTTTGAAGATCGCCAAGCTTACTTTGGTCTAAATGGAGGAGAGCTCTTCGGAAGTTCATCACTTCCCTGTCTCTCTCAGTGTGTTTGAATAACAACTAAGCTAAACAGATATCCATGAAAGATAATATTGCAGTAATCCTGAGAATTAAACTTATCCAAGTAAACTTTGCAAAAACAAAAAACAATGCCTTTGTCACATTTTTTAAGCAGGTGTATACAAAATAAGTAAGGAGAGAAAGCACATTAAATGCTATCTGGATTAAACATTACACATAAAATCTATCTATCTTTTAGGTAGACAGATTAATGTAAATAAAAGATATTGGATTTCCTCTGCCAATCGGTGAACAGTATATCTTTTTGCAGCTAGTTATGAGGTTTACATCATCCCACCTCACCTTCTTGGAATAGGGCTGTCCTTTGGTACTATTAGCACTCACTTAAAAGGTGTAGGTCATTGAGAAATGAATATAAATGGAAATGATTTTTTTTCAGTTGAGAGAAGAAAACACTTTCTAAAATCCCTTAAAATATACGTCACTAGTATATGGCTATGAACTACATGGCTATCAATTATCCAAAGCCAAAAGCTGAACTCTAATGCCTATTCTTATTTGACCCACTGAAACTTGCTAGACAAATTTCATTGTAAATGATAAGTGGACCAGTATAATACTAATTGTTTTCTAAGTCAATCTTGATTTTCCTCTTGGTTGATTGGACCGCACTGTTCTACCTCTGTTAAAATGCCGACTCCTAGTCGACCACAGGGTGGTCCTAGTGGTCTAGTGGATAACGCCTTGGCGTTTGAAACATTGGGCATTGAGTTTGAGTCACTCCACTCGGGGAGCGCAAGACGAAATGCATATCCTGGCTTCCACTGATAGCTACCATCCATCAAATCGCTTCTAGGAAGCATAATACTACTTATCATTCAGTAGCCAATGTCTCTAAGCAACTAATTCCTTTCTACAGTCTATATCATCTACAGTCATTCCCTGCTGATTAACAAAACTGAAGGATATATATATATATATATGCAATACAAAAATAACAACTCTTACTTAATCCATCCAAATCTTCTCTAGCATTCTTTAACTGATATTCAGTAAGCGTAAATGAAGCGGCTTCACGTGAAGCATCCTCTATATTGTGTGCTTCATCCAAAATAATAACATGATTAGAAACTTCAAGTGATGTCTTTTTAAAAAAAAAAGAAAAAGAAGCCTCACAGTTACAGTCAACAGAATTAAACATACAGAAGCACGATTCAATGGATCAAGAAGATAATCATATGGGCAGAAAATAATATCCGCTGTTCTCGCTAATGATCGTGAACAATAATACGGGCAAGAAGGAAGCTGAAAGTAAACAGAAAAGAAGTCAGGCATCAAATAAAAATTATAGCAACTTACTGGAGTAAGCGCTTCAACTAAATCTTCAATATCCCATGGTCCTGAACGATCTAGTTTATTAATAGCATGGGATAGATCCGACTTCTTTCGTGGTATATCATAAGGGCATACACCTGACTAATTTAAAAAGTTGATTTTTTTTTTTGAAAATATAGAAAATTTTGTCAAACCATTAGTAAATTATGACATGCATCTGTAACATTTGCCATGGAATTAACTTCTGGATTGATACACGTGTGTTTACGACTACTCAAAATCGACATTCTATAAATTAATAAGAATTATGATAGGATTGCTAAAAAGCTATACAACAATGCATTACTTCATATTTGCGTATTTGGTCTTTCTCAATTCTCTAACAACTTGAGATATTTGTTTATGAGTTCTGGTACAATAATAAATCTTTGGACTAATTGCATAATCGGATTGAAAATGAACAATCAGTTAGCATAGTATACCTTTCAGCAGTATTCTTTTTGTCTTCTGACAGTAAAACATTCTCCATATCATCTAATTCTATAAGATAAAGAAAAAGGTATCAAGAAATATATACATATATATATATATGTATATATTACATACATAGATAGATAAATAGTGGGTCACAATGAAATGCTTAAAAAAAGTAGATGAAGTGAAATGAGTTGTCTCAGCGCCAACAAGATATTCATTTGTTAACTAAAGGTTTACTGTATACAGCAGTAATGCAGTTTGTTCTAACAAGCAACAGAATAAAAACAAACAATGTTACTGAGGAATATATTAGCATACGACAGACATATAAGACAATGTTAAAAGGATAGACTAACCCTTACGTCAATTTCTGCATACCTGCTATACCACATGCTCCTCTCTGCAACTGACTACAATAGACTTTGTGGGTTTTCCAGAAAAGCACAATCACCAATAGGTAAGCAGACGACAACATAATCAATCAATTCAGATTATTTGGCTCTCCACTATTTATCTTTTGAATTTATGTACAAGTTTAATTTCAACCACTCTCAAAGTCTATATGCTCATTACTTTTGCCTATATGAACAACAACTCAAACTCTGTATTTAAAAAAGTTTTTGCAAACTCGTTTTATTTTTGTACCTTCGTCCTAAGTTTTCTTTTGGTTAACTTCATTCCATTTTGCTTGACCTTCTCGACCATCATTAATATCATAACTTTTAAAGCATTGAACCCACTTTACACTTCCTGGTATCAATGCAATTCCTTAATAACCTTTTTCTGTATTTTATTTACTTCAATCCCATCCGTTTATAAGCAAGTTAATTAGTGTTTATTTTGTGTATTGACTGAACAAATTTTTTGCGACACTAACTGACTTCTTGTGCGTCGGTGGCATAGTAGTTAGGACGCTCACCGACCATGCACATGGTCCGGGGTTCGATCCCCGGCCGACGCACTCCTTTACCTCGCTAAACCAGAAACAAAAAAGTTGGTATAGTAGGAAAGGTTGGGCATGAGGCTAGCAACCCCATCCTGTAAAAAATAAACACTGCTACAAAAACACTAGCTTGAAGCCCTATGTTCCACTGGGAACGTGAAGGAATAAAAAAACCGACTTCTTACATAATATAAGTAAGACTGTAAAGCTTGGAAAAAAAGTCATTGAAAAAGGTATTTCCTCATTAAGTAAGTCACCTAAGTTCACATAATTCATGAATAAGCCCGAATCTTTTGTAAACATACATATTTTTACAAAAGTGGGTGTCCATAAATTATCAGATGTAAATTGTTAAGCTATTTCAATCCATTAACATTTAACATTAAAAAACTTCTGAAAGCTGGAACATTATACTGAGGTTATAAAACAGTTAATTTCATCTATGATATTTACAGTGAATGCCTTAAATTGTTTTCAAATTAGATGAGTGAACCACTTGATTATGTTGAATGCGAACGGATATCAGACCACTCTCTCTCTCTGAGGTTTTGTTTCTTCACGAGTAAACATAGCATCGTATACTTGTGTTAACTGATACCAAGAATATTCTCAGTACCGTCAAATCCATGCACGGTAGTAATTAACACATGTAATCAGTTTGTATTAGATGCAATTGCCAGAAGATAAAACATGCTAATACATCTTAATGCAGAGACTCAACAGTAGAATGCTCAGAAACCACGCAGGGTTCGAATTCGAGTCGAAGCAGTGAGAAACCCCACCTAGATTACTAGTAGACAGTAAGCCCAGAAAAAGGTAAGACTAGAAGTGAGACTTCACCCTACATAAACATCATTACTGAAAATGCAAGGCTCTGAACGCAAGAAATAAAAAACAATAGGATTTATGTAAAGTTTTCCATATTGCCCTTGGAAAATGATTTAAAAACTTGCATTTACGATCAACGATGAAAAAGAAAAACACAACACAAGAAATGAAAGGGAGAGCTAGAGAAAACAATCAAACTGCCTATAATATAGGAGGATAAATTCAATCTTCAAAAATAAAATTAAAACAAGGCTACCGACACGAGTCACATAGCACTGAATACTTAACTACCGGGTTTTGTTATCCATTCCATCCTACTCAGGACACAAAAATAGTCAGCAAAAACAGCTACCCATTATTATGTCGCGCCGCGAATGAAATTCACAAAATTCCGCTTACTCTCCACCATTTCGAGAGCTAACAACCATAAATATATATGAAGCACTTATACAACAAGAGATAAAGTGTCTAAACTAACTACACAGCACCATAGATATATGAACACGATACATTCAGGAGATTCACCTCCAGAGCTAAATGCTACCAATCGCCCTAAAACTATTTTACTATTTTATGTCGCAGGTGATCTCCACTACTTCTAGCTTGAGACATAATTCCAAGTAAACTGAATGTGAAGATACTGAGGTGAAACTAATGAAACGGCATACTGGTTCTCCCACCGAGTCATGGACTCTTACGACCGACTTCCAGAAGTGGTCTGCACCTTCGATTAACTCTTCCCAGCACAGATACTGAACAGAAAAGAATTAGCACGTGCGTTAACCCTTCTATCTTTAATCGATAAATCTAAACACTTAAATCTCACAAATTTCACGTTTTTCCAGAAGTTAGAAAAAAGCTGTACAAGGGTAATTCACAATTGATTGCGTAAAAAATAATGTACTAGGAGAACATAGGAAAAATTTACTCTATTCAGAAACATAAAAACCCACAAGCTAGTTTTCCAAATATTTTGAAACATACCGGAAACTTTATCATTTACTTTGGAGACAGGATTGGGTGCTATATTTATTCACCAAAATTAAGCATGATTCCAAAATCCTTACCAGCTGTATTTAAATCACCTACGAAATTATATTTGGACATTACAAAGGATAAGTTTTCTTACTCTTCTTTTTCTCCAGCCAACCTAGAGTAGCACATAAAAGGGAGAGAGTTTTCCCTGTTCCTGTAGGAGATTCTAAAAGACAATTTTGTTTGTTTTCCAGCGATTCAACCACCTGGAACAAATAAGTATTTTAAATCCTTACTCGTGTCATCATTGACATTTGGCAACCGTACGGTTTGTGTGGGAAACATATTGGGATGCCCCGAATAGTAATTTCGAATCCATTCATCCTACGAGTGACCTTCGACGTAGGTCGCCGACTGACCTTCTATGTGAATTACATAAACGCTGGAGAGTTCTTAAATGGATAATGAGTTAAAGAAAACTTGATTGTGTCATCTCGTCTGTAGCTAAAGTCTGAAACTAAAGTCGTCATCCATCATGGCATCGAGGACAGGTTCTAATATCCAGTATCATTTTTACGAGCTAGTATAAACCAATTTGATTTCTTTGTGCTCGCGTCTTGATTGTGAGGTATAGTTTCCTGATCTTCGGTAAACTTTGGTTACTAAACTGGCTTAAGGAATTCCTCATAGATAGGAGGCAGGGGTTAGGATCAACTCGAAACTCTCCTCTTGGACAGCAATGCGTAGCGGAGTGCCACAAGGCACGGTACTCGGACCTCTTCCATTTATTTTGTGTATCAATGAGTTATCTCCACTCACCGATTCCCCTATGGTCTTATACGCAGATGACTTAAGAATTTGGTGAGAGTTGGAGGGCAACAGTGATATGGTCACGTTGAAAAAGGACCTCACCAAATTATCAGAGTGGTCCAGAGAATGGATGCTCCCTATCAATGCAGCAAAATGTGCAACCATGCCCATCTGACAAGCAAGCATCAGTTCCAACGAACTAGAAGGAATAAAATTCCCATCAGTTCAGACTCATCTCGACTGAGATCCCATAGTTAGCCACTATTTAAAAACTACAGCACACTGTCGCGCAGTGGTGGCACGTAGTTTCAAATCCTTATGAGCAATTCGCAGAACCTTATATACCTCTCTAGTGAGGTGAAGACTGGAAAACTGTATCCAGGCAGCCAGTTCTTGTCTTAGAGGGGACTCACATATTCTAGAAAGGGTCCAAAGGAATGTAACGCGTATGATTCTCTACATGACTAACTTATCATACGAGTAAAGACTAGACAGTTTAAATCTCTTCTCTCTGTCATACCGTAGGCAGAGAGGAGGTTTAATCACAATGTTTAAAATTTTAAATAGTGTCTACGGTCCTGATCTACTCTTTCTTTTCCTTCCCACCAGGTATGAACAGCTTAGAAGACATAGCAGGAGAGTTCAAAAGCCAAAAAGAAATCATATTGCTGTTGAGCACTTGTTCTTACACCGAGGCATAAACTCTTGGCATCGACTCCCCGAGGAAGTGGTGTCTGTAACCTCAATTGATTCATTCAAGAAGGGTTTGGGCAACCACATAAATCGGAATCTGAAATCTGAAAATCTGATAACTGAACTAAATCCACACTCCTTAGAAATAAAGATAGTACCCCAGTCAACCCGTGTTTTTCGCAGCGAAGGTTCCAATATCCAATATCGTTCTTACGAGCTAGTATAAGCCAATTTGATTTCTTTGTGCTCGCCTCTTGATTGTGAGGTAGAGGTTTCTGATCTTCGGTAAACTTCTGCGTAGCTCGTCCCGTCACTCGACTGTCGTAGCTTTGGTTGACTCCAAAAGGAGTAGTGCTGGGATTAATTATATGTGGTTTGTAGTATGGGGTGTGTTAAGACTGTTACTACTGTGAATGGAGTTGGTCCTTTCACCAGTTAGTCCTCCGGTATCGTCATCAAAAGAAAGGAGATAATAATAACAGATATAATTAGTGAAGTTATTCAGACTAACAGACGGAAAAAGAAATAAAGAAAAAGTAACAACAGTCAGCTGATTAAATTTGAAGAATAATATGAATTATATATATCGGTAATAATGATAATAACAATAAGTGTAGTTTAGGTTGTGAGGAGGGTAAGATGGGAGAGAATGTTAAGAAGTAAAACGACGAATTTATTTGTCTACCCCTGAATGGTGTACGGGATTTAAGTGGATAGGCCATTTGGACGCAGTCCTTGTGTCGCTGCATGATTGTCCAGCCTTCGCTTAAAGGCTTCCACAGATGGTGCCACAGCTACATCTGCCGGTAAGGAATTCCAGGGACGACAAACCCGCGGTGAAAAGAAGTGGGAGCGCACCTGGGTCCTTGACCTCTGGTGACCTATCCCTCTGGGATTCCCACGAGGAAGCCCGTACCTACTCAATGGCAGAACACCCTTGTTTGGGTGATTCTGCTCATTTGTTGTCTTGTCTTTGGACTCTCTCCAAGTGGTTGTCGTTTCTTCTAAGCAGTGGGGGTGCAATAATACTATGCACTTCAAGGTGTGGTCTGACGTATGTTTTGTACAACCTTAGAAAGAGCTCAGGAGTGAGTGCACCTAACTGTCTACGTGTGAAGTGTATGACCGCATATGCCCTCGCCACGTCCCTCGTGCAATTTACGCTTGTGTCCATTTTTTCCGTTAGAACTAGATCCAAGTCGCGTTCTGACGTTGTGCAGGACAAGCTTTCATTGCACAGGGCGTAACTTGCATTCTGCAGTCTACAGGTGCCTAATTTCACTACTTTGCACTTTTTCAGGTGGAAAGTTGTCATGCCACTGGCCACCGCCTTGTCTTCCAGAAGGTTTAGATCTTCCTGCAACCTATCTGAGTCCTCCTGACACTTAATCGCCCTCCATATCTTTACGTCATCAGCGTATAGAAGAGCCGGGCAGCTTAGACGACATGGATAGTCATTGGTAAAAATCACAAACATCAGTGAACCTAGGATAGAACCCTGCGACACTCCTGATGACGAGCTGTGCCAGGATGATCGGACTCGACTGACCTTAGTGCAAAATTTCCTTTCAACTAGGTAGTCCTTTAACCATGACAGAAGTGGCTTACCCATACCTGCCCGACTTATTCTGTGTAGATGAACTGTGTCAAATCCCTTCTCAAAGTTTAGGAAGACCACATGGACTGGAACATTCATATCCCAGCATGACGTCCAATCGTCCCAAGCTGATAGCAGGTTTGCTACACAGGATCTGCCCCTCCTGAAATCGTCTTGGGCTTTATGCACTCTATTAGTCTTTTCGAGGTGCTTCCTGATGTGATCAGCAATAATACTTTCAAGTGCTTCTGAAACAACTTGGAGTGAGGATACTGGTCTATATCTAGTGGCATTTTGCTTATACCCACTCTTGAAATAGGAGAAAAAGATGATTCTTCTACACTCCCTTTGCAGTTTCCTCGAATCCACCGTGTGGTTGAATAAGTCGCATAAGGGCCTACATAGGGCTTCGGCGCACTGTTTCAGAACAGATGACCTGATGTCGTCACAACCTGGGGACTTTTCAGATGTGAGTCGCTGTGGCTTCCCTAGTACTATTGCGGGGTTTATTTCGGAGAGTAGCCGCCAGGTCTTCCTCCGGTAAAATAGTAGTGTTTCCTTTTTGGTCCATACCGGTAATACCTACATTCGTGTTTAACCGTTTAGCGAAGGCTGGACTGAATGTTTCCACCACCTCCGGACTAGTGAGGTATTGACCGTTTGGACCTACTAGGGCGCATGCCCCCTGGTTGGTTGGTTTTCTTTCCGACATGAATCGGTACAAGTTTTTGGGGTTTGCTAGGAGTTTTTGGCAAGGTTAGCCTGGAATGACCTCCTGTCATTCCTAACTCTCACGTTGCACTGGTTCCTGAATTTCAGGTGTGCGCCGTAGTCGGTCTGGCTCTTGGATACTCGTCACGTAAATCAAGCCTTTGACTGCAGAATACATTGCGTACCTGTCTTCAGCCATGATGACAATTTTTGGGCTGTGCTGTGATTAAAAGGACGGTATCCGAGATTACTGTATGAGTAGTCTTTTTTACCGCTTCCCGGTGTTCATCCACAGACAGCTCATCCCATGCTAAGGGCCAGTCTGAATCGGAAAAGAGCCTCCGCATTTCAGCATAGTCAGCTTTGCTATAACACAGACATGGTTACGTAGCGTCCCACTGCAAATGCTCACGGAGAACGAGATCGAAACCTATGACTGCATGGTCACTATTTCCTAGAGGAGTCGTGATCTGGATCTTTTCAATGAGTAGTTGGTCACTAGTTAGAATGTAGTCTACTTTCGATGACTTTTCACTAGGGTCCCACCTAGTGTCGTCTCCAACATTCTCAGTCAGTCCCTTGTTTCGAATAGGCTGCAGTAGATTTCGGCCGAATTTTCCCTTAGCATACACCAAGCAAAGGTTCATTGATGGGGCATTGAAATCTCCCGCTTTGGTGATTTGGTCATAGCCCAAGTCTCGTATCCCTGTGATAGTGCTGAGCAGTAGCTGATTGTGCTCTGCCCCACAGATGGGTGATCGGTAGATGCTACCCAGTAAGTACTTGGTGTGGCCTGTGGTGAAATGACACCATAAGGAGCCTAGGGGTTCAATAAGTGATTGGTCCGTTGCGCCCATACGTTTAAGTTACTTGCCAGAGTATGTGGCAACTCCCCCCTCCTTTGCTATCCCTGTCTCTCATGACCAGAACCATATCACCTATACTGATTTCGTTGTCGGGGGTAGTGGAGGTCAGCCAGATTTCAGTAAGGATGATCATTTTAACGTCTTATTGTGACTGGAGGTTTCTGAGTTCATCTTATTTCCCTCTCCGCCCTTTCACATTGCTATACAGGCAGCTGACAGTGAGTCTCACAACCTCGGCGTGTCATGGGGTGGCTGACGTCACGTTGTCTGCTGGTAGGGGACCTGATATTGGGACAGGTTGGCCGATCCCAGTAGAACCGTCCTGTTGCATTCTATCTGCTTGGAATCAGGCAGGACACGGGTGACACTGACTGTCATTCTCAGTGCCGCATCGCTGCAGTGACACTGAGGTTTAGGGATGTATTAACACCTCAGTTTGCTACATCCTTATGGGT